TATATATATATATATACACATGGAAATATTTATATTTATATATATATATATGGAAGATACTGACGCATATCATATTCTATAGAAACCCTACCTTCTACTATGTACGTGCCCAGGACCCTTTGGGAAGCCTTGTAAACCCGTGTGCAACTCTACAGCCCCTTGAAGCCTGAGCCTAGAATCCCCGCTTTCTGGGTTGCTGCTTAGCAACTTAATTCAAGTTCCCGTAATCGGGATATAACAAAGAAAAGCGTTTCCTTCTTATAGTAACTTAGCTTAAGCCCAGTTTTTGTTAAAACTGTGGCATGGGTTTGGCCCCCAAACCCTAAACCTAAACCGCGAGGCACTCAGGCTGGAGGCGGCGCGTTTGCTGCTCCGCTTCTTCAACTGCGAGTTGGACTTCAGGCGAGGTCTTGAGGGGGCTGGGTTGTTTTAGGGGTTTTAGTGTTTAGGCGTTTAGGGTAGGGATTTTAGCGTTTAGGCGTTTAGGGCAGGGATTTTAGTGTTTAGGGGTTTAGGGTGGGGGGTTTTGAATCAGGTTTTCCAGATGGGTTCCTTCAGGCTCTGTGAGTGTTTGGGGCCTGTGGCTTGGGATGAGGGCTTGCGGTTTGAGTCAGTAAGAGTTTAGACTTTGTCCTGGCTTTTGGTCTCGAGTCGAAAGTATCTCAACTATTTCATTGTATTGCATTATAAGTTTAGGAAGGTGTCGTAGGAATTGCATCTGTTTGCAGAAAGAGACGACGGCCTATCGGAAGCGCCTCAAACTTGCTGGAATATTGTCGAAGCCTTTCTCCCGCAAAGAAGCTTCAAGAGTGAAGCAGGGGCGAGTCTGGGATGCCCCGAACCCCATGTAATGTAGGGGCATTAAGTTCAACGGGGTTTTGGGGTATATTATACCATACTCATAATAAGGAACCCCCCAAATAGTATAGGTAATTATTAAGGCCCCTACATTAAGTACAACTCCTTGACGTCGATCGTGAAGACGACGACGACCACGACCAGGACGATGGCGGTGACCTAGGACACCGACCGTCGGAACCGACAGCATCATTACGCTTGTTCCGGGGCTCATAGCCATCATGATTTGCGGTTGTGATGATCAGCATCGTCATGGGATGGTTTGAGTTGTTCATTTGTCCGTTATTGGTTTGAGTCGTGTTGCTCGCCATTTCTGTTCGAGTCGTCCTCGGTCTTGTGCGCTTTCCATCCTCCACAATAAGGTTTGGTCTCGAGGACGTCGGCATGCACAAGATAGGATCTAGCGCATGTCCCTTTACGATAACGATCCATTCGATACCTGAGATTGGCGAGATGTTTGTTTTCACCTTCAACTGCCTGGTCCAAAGCCTAAACTAAACCCCAACATTTTAAAACCCTAAATCCTTAGGGATACCTCTCTGAAACCTAAGGTAAACCCTACAAAGCCGACTAGACTGAAGGAATCTTTTTTCGGCGCGCATGGACTCTTACTTGGAGGATCATGGGACTTAGCAACTAGGGCTATAAATAGGGTAACATTATAACCCCAATTAGGGTACTGATAACCTTACTTACTAAGCCCTAAACCCTAAACCCTAAACCCTATAACCCTACTTACTAAGTCCCATGATCCTCCAAGTAGGGGTTTACTTTTGCCCTGAAGGCCGGAAGAGGTGACCAGCAACGTGGCCGCAGAGAAGAGAAGCTAAGGACTCTGGGTTGTGTAGCTTCCTATTGTTGTTTTGGGTTTAGGGTATCTTAGGGGTACTTAGAAATAGTTTTTTTTTTAAAATCTTTGGCTACTATAAACCCTAAGAAGCAGCTTAAATTATAATTTTTGCTAGGGGTCTAAGTTCAGTATAGGTATAGGGTGTTCTGTTTCGATGTTATCCGTCTTTTCAGAATCGGGTTGTCTTAAAAGGCTTTATCGTGTTGTATGGCGTTGAAGGGGTTGTTGGGTTTCGAAGCTAAGGCTCGGGCTTCAGGTAGTTTGGAGCTATAGATTTTTTATAGGGTTTAGGGTTTGTTCTGGGGTGTTTAGAGACTCAGGGGTTGAAGTGTAGGGTTCTGGGCAGTAGGTATGTTTGTACTCTACAATGGTTCCCGCAAAGGGTTTCTGTACCCTAAGCGGCAAACTCTAAACCCTAGGCCCTAGACCCTATCCTAGAAATCGAAGCCCCGTATGAACACAGGTCATCCAGATAGAACCCTCTAGTATAGAAGCCCAAAGCCCTAAACCCTACACCCTTCAGAACCCAGCCCTGATAATTTGCCCTAGAACCCTTGTAGACCCTCATAGCCAGCCTTCTGGCAAATCTTAAAGACAGCCCTCCACCCAAAAACCCCCAAACCCCAAGCCCCATCAAGAAACCCTAACCCCCCAAGCACAAGAGTCGAGGTACGCCCAAAGGATCAGGAAACTTAATAAGTACGGGAACCATACAGTGGTAGCCCAGAAGTTGGAAACCCAAATAGCCTCAGTCCTGAAGAGTAATTATAGGGAATCCCACCTTTAATTGTCCCTAATCCGGTTTCCAACTTTTGGGTTTACCATAGTTGTATAACTCTTCGACAAAAACCCGAAGCCAGGTACGCAGGACCCTACTTACGAGGTCCCCTTCCTCCTCAACCCTTACCGTTTCAACAACACATATGTAAAGGCACCCCCTAAGTCCTAAACCCTAAACCCTAAGACCCCAGACCGCACCCTTAGTGGAGGTACGGTGAAAGCCATCGAGTCGGGAGGCTCCGCCCCGAAGCAACGGCAGCACTTCGTGGAGAAGCGTCGCCGCAGATGTGAGTGGTTCTTATTATATATAAGGCGTTTAGGGCCAAAGTTTAGGGTTTATGGTTCAGTGTGTTTTTGAAGGATTTACCAAGGACTTGCAACATTGGAACCTAAGTTGTTGTTTAACTGTCTTCGGAAAGGTTTTCTATGGACTTGAAGGTATACAAATCAGTGCGTATATATATATATATATACATATATATATATATATATATGTGCGTGTGTACATGTATGTGTATATATGCATATGCATGAGTTTACACATGTGTATAGATATAGATATATATGTAAGGTGTTCTACAAAGGTTTTAGAAAGCTGTGGAAGAGTTGTACAGGGATATCTTCCGGGTTGTAGAACTTGTTTGCAAAGGTTGACAAGTGTTGTTTTTCGGTTGTGCGAGGGCTACTACAATGTTACCGGCTGTGCTAATATAAAAGTGGCTGAATATGTAGACTAGAAGTTCGGGTGGTTCTAGACTGGCTAAACATGCAGCCGTGCGAAGCGAAAGCTGTTCTTAGTCTACACCAACGCTAATATAGGGGCCTGAATAATTACCTATAACATTGTGGGGGGTCCTTATTATAACTATACTATAACCTACTTTCGAAGGCCTATTCTGATGATCAAGGCCCTTTCCGAGCTATGCTTGGGGTTCATAGCTTCGGGGTTGGGGTTTTCGAGCCCTGAATCTTAAGCTGAGTTTTGGGTCCCGGCTTCGGATACCCTCTGGTCGTAAGCTCCTGGCTGTTCGGTTTAGGGTTTAGAGTTTAGCGCATGCCTCAAACGAAACTGTGGCACAGAAGAAGGTTTTTGGAAGTCAGATCCAGGAGAGGAATCTCTTGTAGGATATGTTGCCTTCTGCGTCATGAATAGGTTCATTAGGAGGTGGTCGGGCTGCCTTCACAAGGACTGTGCTGACCGCCCGTCGTCGGGAAGCATGCGCGTGGAGGGACACCCCTTTAGGCATCCTGCTTGCACGGGGATGGTTCTGCAAGTTGGGGTCGTTTGGAGGTTTAGACGTGGGGTCCAAAAACGGAACCGAGGGGGTTGGAAGATAGACAATGCAGCGCTGTGATTAGGAAATCGCTCGCCGTTGAACCCCTCGCTGTTGAGAAGAAGCTTGCTTGTGATGCTGTTGCTGCTGTCGTTGATTCAGACATTTTCGGGTTTCTGGTAGCGCGATGCCGGTTGAGATTGATTGGAGCTGATATGAAAGTGTTTCCTGGCTTGTGCACACTGGTTAAGACTGATTGGAGCTGATCTGAAAGTGTTTCTGGTTTATGTAAAATGATCGATCAAGAGAACTACTCACATGGAATGTCTTCGGCATCTATTTGGCAATTTGAGTGGTTTTGGCAGGAGTCCAGATCATGTGTAGCAACATGTCGCAACCGTGCATGCAGTGCCTAAAGTCTGAAACTCGATTTTCGGAAGTTAACTTATCTTCTGATTACGACGTAGCATGGTGAACAGCACAAAGCTTTTGATATGTAGGCGAGGTGCATGAAGCGCCAAGTCATGAGCGCCTATAAGGAACAATCTTGTTCCTCAATGCGCACACCGTATTTAAGCAAAATCCATGTTCCTTAGTCTATGCGTTACCAAAGTTCCTACAACTAGTGCAGAAGGCATATTCGATAAATACACAGTACTGCGCCTTCTGGCTAAGGCACGGCCCCTCCTGGGATTTCCTACTTTCCCACAATCTCCCCGGAAGATAGGGTGCCTTCAAAGGCAAAGCCTAAGTTCGAGTTTCGGAGATTTCACTTTGAGGTTCCAGGTTTGGACTATAAAGGCTGCAGTAAAAAAACAAGACAAGGGAACTGGAAGGCAGGGTTTTCAGTTGGTTGTAGCAAGATGTTATGAATCAGATGACGACCTCTACCGTTACTCCCATCCCCAAGCCAAAGCTGGTTCAGTAACTTTAGACTCTAAACCCTAAACTCCTAAACCCTAAACCCTCCGTTTGCAACTTTTCACTCCGACTCTAGCTCTGTCTTTGAACCCCAGCCCGTGCGAAGTCCCACATACAGCCTTATGCCAACCACTTTATAGGGCTTAGGGTTTAGGGGGTTTGGGGTTTAGGGTTTAAGGTTTAGGGTCTGCCATCACTAGCTCTGAAATGGAACTGTGACGGATCGCCGGGCATCACCGACTATGGGACCCTTTAATCTGAAGCCTATGAAGCCCTAAACCCGCCGCACCTTGTAAGAAACACACATGCATACATAATTACAAAAATACATGTGTATGTACTCAAAAACCACAGGGGTAGTTCTCTAAATTAGGGTCCGTTTTGGGGTCCTGTTTTATCAGGGTGCCGTACTATATTGGGGACCCTAAAAAGGGACCCTAATTTAGAAAACTACCCATATCCGTACGAATTCAGAAACCCTGGAGCAAACCCTTCAGGCGAGATCGTGCGCGGCGATAGCGCGAAGCTCGAGGAGCGGGAGCGCCTGGCACAAAATTTGCCTGGACCTGAGCTTGAGGTGTCCACAAAGGTTCCCTAAACCCTGAACCCTAAACCCCAAACCCTGATCCCTAAACCCCAAACCCTAAACGCTGAACCCTAAACCCCAAACCCTGATCCCTAAACCCCAAACCCTTGGCTACGGCTCAAGCTGTTTGGCTCTAAGTCCTGTCTTAGTGGTT